GGGAGCGGCCACTGCACTCCAGTCTGGGAGACCGAGTGAGACTCCAACTCAAAAAATAAAATAAAATAAAATAAAATAAAATAAAATAAAATAAAATAAAATAGTTCTCAAAAAATTCTAATACACTGTAACTTAACAAATGCACAACTTAATGATCTCCTATGCCAAAAAAATTATACATCCCAAACAGAAAATAAAACATGAAAACATGATTTATTTAAACATTGCCATTTCTTAAACTCTTGCATTATCTAGTTCTTATATTTAAAACTTAATATTCTCAAAATCAATAGACCCAAAATTCTTAAATTTTGGAAAAATTCTCATATCATGTACTGTGCCTATACATGTGAGAAGTTGATGTACAGGAAGTGACTATTGCCTGATAACATAACTGGTCTTGCTGAAGGACCAGTTGGGTACAACTACCCAAGAGACAGTCAAAGTTGATTACCCTTTGTAAGAACCATTACGAGTTTTCTGTCATCACTTTTTTTGAATCTGATTCAAATATTTTTACTATATAAATTATCTCTCCTCTCTCACAGGGTTACAGAAGAATCTTGTTACTGATCATCCTAATAAGATGCTCTTATAAGGATAAAGAACAAAAAAAAGGTTGTCCAGGAGAGGGATACTAAAAATTTTTTAATTTTAATTTTTTTTTTTTCTGGAAGATGCTCAAAGCCATCTCTTCTTTATTAATAGGCTTTTGAGGATTCTTTAAGGATGTTTTGTTTGCTTGTTTGTTTTAATATATTTTATTTTAAAGATGTGGGGTATAACTCACGATTAGGTATATAAGTGCACATGGTACAGGTAAAATTTGGGCTTCTCTTTGGTCCCTACTTTGTCTGGTTTGAGATCAGGTACCCTTATTGATGTTGTGTTCCTCCTGTCCCCTGGCAATATCCTGCTACTGCCAATCCCTTTCTCATAATATTGTGGTAAATGTTCAGGGTCCACTTATAAGTGAAAACATGTGGTACTCTGTTCTTTGTTTCTGTAATAGATCATTGAGTATTTTTGTCAATTCAGCTGTCAAAATAGAAATATTCAATAATACTATTATATGACTTCCCTTCAGTCATGAGACTGTTCAAGCAGAGAGAGTATCTGACTCAAGAGCAGGTGGTGAGAAGTAGAAAATAATATTTTTTCTAGTTTCAAACTCCATATCTAGAAAGTTGAGCACTTGTCTTTTTTTCTTAAAAATGTGACTGCAATGCAACTTAAGGAACTTACCTACTTTATAAATAACATAAGCCTAAATGTGGTTAGGTTTGTTTTTGTTTAGTAAATAAGGTTTCCAGAGGGAACAGCTAAAACTTTATAAAGTGAATCCTTTAACTTAGAAAACCCTCAAGGAGTAACTATGACAAACTTAGAAGTTCTAGGCAAAAGCACCATCTAACCATCACCACCATCATCATCAAGGCAATTCTGATTCATTGTTATTTCTCCCAAATGAAAATAGAGAACAGGAGAGAAGGAATGTAGAAGTGTGACAACTTTCATAATAAGAAAACACACACAATTATATTTTTCAAGACTACTCAGATTTGCTGTTATGGTCCTATGGAACTTATCTGCAGATGTATTTCTATAGTGGGGCTGGCCCCATCGATTGTAATCTGACTCATTGTATCTCATCTTTAGTCACTCAGAAATTGGCATCTTCCCTAGAATTTTCCCTGCATACTATTCTAACAACCATAGAACTTTTCCTCTTAAGTCCTGTTTTGTCAAGGACCGCCTGTGTTCTTATTGACAATGTATTTGAATAATATATTGCAAGTTCCTCATTGTATAAACTGTACAAAACTCAGTATTCAGTGCTGGGACTGATGGGATCCCAGAGCATACATTCTTATACTAATCTCACCTCCGGCTACATGTTGTACCTTAATTTTTTAAATACTAAATTTTTTTTTTTTTTTTTTTGAGTTGGAGTCTCACTCAGTCGCCCAGACTGGAGTGCAGTGGCCGCTCCCGGCCATCGCAGCCTCGACCTACTGGGCTCCGGCAATCCTTCCGTCTCAGCCTTCCAAGTAACTGGATTTACAGGCATGCGCTACCACGCCCAGCTGATTTTTAGATTTATTGTAGAGATGAGGTCTTGCTGCCCAGGTGGGTCTTGAACCCATGGGCTCAGGCAATCCACTCACCTCAGCCTCCCAAAGGTGCAGGATTACAGACTGAGCCACTGAGCCCGGCTTAATACTAAATTTTCACTCATTTTAATATATTTATCATTTATATATTTTTATAATTAGATTATTCTAAGAGTTACAAATACATAAATACATGCAAGTTGAAAACCAACTGTGTTTTTACTCATAATTAATCCTAAAAATATATATATTTTCTTAAAATAACATTTTAAGTCTAATATTTTGTGGTAATATAATTGAGCCACTCATACTTGTCTATTGTTAATTGTTTTCCACTTAAACAACAGGGGTTTAAGTTCTGACAGAGTTATAAATTTCACAATCCACTAGGTTGTGTCAACTACGTTAATTAACTATATTAGTGTCTTACATTATGATTCATATGAATACAAATCCTAATTTGCAAATTTAATTGCATTCCAGGTAACAACTTCGGAAAATTCAGTGGTTCCCAGCTTTTATAAAAATGCTCTTTTTCAGCTACAAGAATGGTTAGTGTAATGCTTGTTATATTATAATTATCAATTTAAATGACACTCTCAGTGAGGTAAATTTAACTGCATTAATTACTTGTTTGACAGTCAGACAATAAAAATGTCATTTAATCTAGATTCAGATGTGTAGAGAAGATTTATTTCCTCCCAAAAGATGAATTGTTATTGATAGTTTTAAAATTATTGTTAAAAATATTAGAAAACGATATGAGTCCATTTCAGTCAACAGGATAGAATAAATGATAGCATATCAGAATCATTCTTGGATCATTTCATTATGGAGTACATTAAACTAACAATATTGGATAGAAAATACATCAGATGCCAAAAGTCATTAACTTAGGAAGTTTTAACTATTAGGAATATTTGCCTTCAGATATATCTGTTAGTTAATTATTGTTTGTTCATATTGTTACAATGGACCAAGCGGATGTATCTTTGACATCTCTCTAATGGAGAAGAGTTTTCAACTATTCCAGACACCTGTATTTCTTACCATTCAGATTGCTGCCTTAACTCAGCCAGCTGATGGAGTCGTTTAAGTGCTTTTTCTTGTTTCTTTTCATCTTTCCATGACTTAGAAGCTACATTTCGAGCAAATTCCCGTTGCTTTAATTCTTTCAGTCTCTGTGGAAAAATAAGAAGAACAGAAAAGATACTATAAATAAATAATATAATCTTTTTCATGTACAAGGCTCCTTATTAAACATTATCCTGAGTGCAAAGGTGTCTTTCTGAACAAGGAGAGTAAAAGTATCTTCTCCATCGATGCTATTCCCTGCTCCAAGATAAATTCAGTAGATTAATGTAGTTGTCAACTAGGTTATTTTCCCAAGCTTGTCACAGTCACTGAAGAAATATGCTGCAAAGCTGCACCCCAGTCCTTACAGGGATCACTCTGGCTACACAACTGCAGTTATCAGTGTGCCTGTGCAAACACAAATGGGAAAATATGTGTAAGATATGAAGGAGTATAAAGGGAGAGAAGGTTATGTGATGCATGTTCCTCTACCCACTAGCCCCTGTTGTAAAACTGATGCTTTTAAGTACACTGGGTAGAATTGAGCCTGTTTCAGTTAAAAACATCTGTTACTGTTGAAGATTTAGTTCAAAGCTCCAAATGCAATTTTCTTTTTTTTTTTTTCGAATTGGAGTCTCACTCAGTCGCCCAGGCTGGAGTGCAGTGGCATACTCACGGCCACCCCAGTGTCGACCTACTGGGCTCCAGCGATCCATCCATCTCAACCTTACAAGTAGCCAGAACTACAGGCATGCACTATCACGCCCAGCTAATTTTTTATTTATTGTAGAGATGAGGTCTCGCCAATTTGCCCAGGGTTGGCCCCGAACCCCAAAGCTCAGGAAATCCACTCGCCTTGGCCTCCTAAAGTGCTGGAATTATAGGCTGAGCCTGGGCCAGATGCAATTTTTAATTTAATTTTTGAGTGGAGAGCTTTATCAAATGCTGATTTCTGTATTGCATTCAGAAAGACAAAATTGGGTCAGGGATTTAAACATAGAATAGAGACTTTGCCTTGCTTGATTTAAATTAACCTACCACTTATTTCAATTAATCCTTTCTCTAAAAATAATTGACTTACATGCAAATTAGATCTGTTTGCTAGAATCTGCCACTAAGAACACCTAATGATATTGAACAAATTGAGAAAGAGTCACAGTCAAATGAACATTTTGAAGTGTGGTGCTTAATCCTGAATTGGGATTGTATTTGAAGTTTAGCCTCTCCTAACTTACACAAAATTATTTTAAATAGTCTAAAATATATATCTGTTTATTTCAATTTTTCAAATCAACTATAATAGGTGTTTCCCAATATGGAAAGCAAAACAAAACTATATAGCTAGCAGGTGAGGTAACAATATGGTAGCACACTATTGCTCACCCATAGAGCAAGGACCAAAACCTTTAATGGTCATTAGGTTCATTCATGAAAGGAACCATGCTCATGGGAGAGGTTGTCCAGATAATTGAGTCTAAGTCAGATATCTAAAAAAGGAAGCAGAATGCCTTTCAAAGAGAATATTCTGAGCACAAAGAACAAGAAAGTCACAAAACTAGAAACAGCTGTATAGAGAACAGTGGACTCAAACTCAATTCCATTTTTCACAAGTACCTCAGATCCTTATACAAAATAGAAAATTCCAGGAAATAAAATTATGCCCAATGTATTATCAGAAAAAGTATCTATAGTTGTCTCGCGCTTATAAACAGCAGAAGGTCTGAGTACTAAAGGGTAGATAGCCTTTGTCAGAAGATAGAAAAAAAACTTATAAAATCCTCATTTCTACATACTATTCTACTCACACTTCCACAGACCCCATATGCTTAATAACCAAACTCTTAGAGATCAGGCTTGTTTTACAAACAAAGACCTTTTGAAAATGGTCTTTCACAATTTAAGAACACACAAAAATGCAGTTCGACTGTCAAAGACAGAAGATAGCTATTTTGGAAAAGAGAGGAGGGTTTTGTTTTTAGCTTACTCTCAGTACTGAATATAAAGTATTTGATACTGTATTTATTTAATATTTGGTATTACCAGCCCATAAAACTTATGCAATTTTTATTTACTCAAAATAACTGATACTTGACTCATTTTTGGAATCTTGTTTGAAAATTTGGAATACATCTTTTCTTTTATTAGTGTTCCAGATTCTGGGACTGTACTTTTATTTTTGAGTTATAAAAATGATTGAGAATTCTGTCTTGCTTTTCCAACAGCAAATACTGCTAATTTCTGCTATGTTAATCCCCACTATTCTTAATGTGGGGTACAGCAATGTACAAGTCAATTATTTTCCCTTCAATGGAGACAGTAAATAGATCCTTCTACAAAATAGTGCTGAGTTTCTTAATAAGGGTACACCCAACATGCTATGGAAACATACAGGAATAGTTAAGAGATTGTTTGCACTGAGGGAGTCAGCAAAATTAAAACTTTTTTTTTTTTTTTTTGGAGTTGTAGTCTCACTCTGTTACCCAGACTGGAGTGCAGTGGCTGCTCCCGGCCACTGCATTCTCGACCTGCTGGGCTTCGGTGATCCTTCCGCCTCAGCATTCCAAGTAGCTAGAACTACAGGTGTGCGCTACCACGCCTGGTTAATTTTTGACTTATTGTAGAGATGCGGTCTAGCCAAGTTGCCCAGGCAGGTCTTGAACTCTCAGGCTCAGGCAATTCACTCACCTCAGCCTCCCAAAGTGCTGGGATTACAGGCTGAGCCACCGAGCTCGGCTAAATTAAAACATTTTTAAGGAATACAGAAACTTGAAAGAAGATTATTTTATTCAAAGACATCTAACCACAGATTTGGTTGAGCTAGTGCTGAATGCTCAAGTCTAAATAAAGAAAACAAAGCAAAACAAAACAAAAAACAGAGATATGCCTGAAGTTTTCAGTGTACTGATCAATGCATCTGTGTAAGAAAACTAATTTTAAAAAAAGGATCACCTGAAAGAGATTTTTTTGAAAAAGCATTTGTATACCTAACCCTGAATTGTAACACACATATTCAAAATTAAAAATAAAATAAAATAAAATAAAACAGTGCCTAGCATTCATATAAGGCTAGGAACAGTGCCTGTACTCACTAGCAAAACTGGAAAAACTCATGCAACATTGAGTAGAGAATTCAGGAAAGTCTTACTTCAGTAGAGACTAATTTAACCATAGATTGAACACTACTTTGGGCTTGCCTAACTAATCAAAAAAGCAAGGGAAAAAAGTATAAAACTGATTCCAAGTAACTTAGTTGAATCACAGACCCAAACACTAGGATATGTATAGATATAAAAAGTAGCCAGAAAAGTGACAGGAAAAAATTAGCAATATTTAGCAACAAATCAAAATTGTCAAGCATGCAAAGAAGCAGGAAATTATAGTTAAAATGAGAAAAATAATCAACTAATCAAAACTGGTACAGAACTGACACAGATGCTAAAATTAGCAGAAAAAGACATTAAGATAATTATAACTATATCCTACACATTTGAAAAGTAGAGAAGATACAGTAATGTTTTGGACAATATGGTACTGACATATCTGAATATGGGGGGGAGAATAATTGAAAATAAATGATTGAAAAGTGCCCATATTTCTTGAAAACGATAAACCCACATATCATCCAACAAGCCTCAAGCACAAGAAATACAGAAAAAATGATACCAAGACTCATTACAATTAAATTTTTTAAAACCAGTAAAAAAGTGAAAATTTTAAAGCCTCCAGAGAGAAGAAAAAAATCACATTTAGCTGCAGAAGAAATAATAACAGGATACAGTATTAAACAAGGATTAAAAAATAAAAACCTGTCAGAACAAAATGTTATACCTAGTGAAAATATATTTTTTAAAATAAGGTAACATATAGGTGTTTTCAGATGTATAAAAGCTGTAAAGAAATCACTAGCAGGCATGCATGATAAAAAAATCTCAGCAACATTTGCTAGAAATATATCTATACCAAAATATGAATGGAACAAATGATAACTACAAGGAAAAATACATAAGATATATTTGTTATTATTTCAATGTATCTAGACTGCTTAAACAAAAACTTTAACTATGCTTTTTTGAGGTTTATGACAAATCTATAACTCAAATATATGACACAAATAACATAAAGCCTGGAAAAGAGAAATAACAGTATTGTTGAAAGCTTCTTATACTCTACATGAAGTAATCTAATAGCAATTAAAGACAGTCTGTGATAAGTTGAAGACGTATACTCTAAGACACACAGTGATAAAGTGTTTTAGCCAGTAGGACAATAAAGGAAATATAGCGAAATCATTAAATTTACTCAGCATGAAAAAAAGCAAAAAAAGCACAAAGATAAAATGGATGAGCAAAAATAAAATAAATAGGAAGGTAATAATCTAACATATGAATAATAAATTAAAAGTAATTGATCTGCTGTGGTGAGTGGATTGCCTGAGCCCATGGGTTCGAGACCCGCCTGGGCAGTAAGACCTCATCTCTACAATAAATCAAAAAACCAGCCAGGCGTGGTAGCGCATGCCTGTAATTCTGGCTACTTGGAAGGCTGAGGCGGAAGGATCGCGGGAGCCCAGCAGGTCGAGGCTGTGGTGGCCGGGAGCGGCCACCGCACTCCAGTCTGGGCGACAGAGTGAGACTCCAACTCAAAAAAAAAAAAAAAGTAATTGATCTAAACACTAGAATTAAAAGAGTATATTTGGATAAAAGAATAAAATCCAATAATATGCTGACTACACAAGCAAACTTTAAAAATCAAGACAAAATGAGTTAAAAGAAAATAATCTAAAAATATATACCACATCATCGCTAGTCAGAAGAAAGCTTGGTTTGCTATTTCACCATAAGACGGAGTAAATCTTAGAGCAAAGATATGTTATATGGAACAAGGATGGTTGCTTCATGATAATGAGTCAAATTAATCAAGATAACATACAATAATAAATTTATATGAGCATAATAGCAGAGCTTCAAAATACACAAAGCAAAAATAGATAAAACTGCAAGGAGAAAAAGAAAAAAATGACAATTATAATAGACGTTTTCAATGTCCCTCTACTATACAGCAATAACATACTCATGGCAAATACCATACTTATGGAAATGATTACACT